CTTCGCGGCCCTCGTTGGCCCAGGGATTCCGTCGGCTGACGCCTCTGCGCCGGACGGTAATGGCAACACCAACACAGACTTTCTCATCAGTTTTGGTGAAGACTTTATTTGACTTTGTGTGTGTTTTTTTTCTCTCGTGTTCTTTCATGTGTTCTTGTACTTTCACTCTTCGTTTTTTTTCCTTCTTTTTTTGAACATAAAGCTCATGTTTGTTGTACCTTTAGAGCGTTTTCCTTGTAGTTTGTGCTGCAGCAACAGGGTCAAGAGAGGCCACTGTCTTGCTCATAGCGGTGTAATTTTAACTGCATGGGTAATGCCCGGCTGCCTTTTGCAGACCAGTAAAGGGCAAATTTAGGAGAGGTGGATGTGGAAATTAAGGCTAGCCCGCTGCCTTTGCGCGGGCTTTGCTGCCTTTTCTGCCGTTCTCATGTCCTGACATGTCTCCCCTCTTCTGCTGTCTGCCGCGCTGGGGGAGCGGAGTGACGTTTAGCCCCTTCACCCAGTAGCGGATGTTGACTGTGGCGCCGCGTGCAGAGTCTCCCGAGAGGTTTTCGCGCGCTGCTTCGGGAGCAGGGAGATACTCTCCGGGACAGCAGACGGTGAGCCACGCAATCTTTTCCGTCCGTCGACTCCCGTCGCTTAGGGCTCGTCAGACTTCGCTGACGGCACCTCGCGCCCGAGGCAAACGCTCGCTTTTTGTTGCCCCACTGCGCACGCTCGGCTGAAGAGTGGTACGGTATCCTAGTGCGTGGCCTAGATACGCCGACCTATCTCCCTTCGAAGCCAACGCGAGCGCCTTTGTCCTCGCTCGAGCAACCGGGCCTTGGTCCCGGTGTCTCCGTGGATCACCTTTACCACGGAGACGTGCTCGTGGCACCCTGTGTAGTACTTTTTTGCCGGTGGCGTGGATAAGCCTATTTGCCTTCCCGCCGCGCCTTTGCAACGGGCTGTACTGCGTTTGGTGTTGCCACAGGCAATAAAGTGTTGCGACTTTGAGCAGTATCGTGTTGTCGCCATGGCAACGGTTAACGCGTGCCCTGCGGCTCGCTAAGACCGGACCTATGCTAGTGGCCGTACTCCTTCGGGAAGCGTGCCACTACAAAGGTGACCCTTCTTATGCTGCGTGGAAGGAACATCCCCAGTGTCCGAAAAACAGTGACAAGAAGGCTGGGGAAATAGAGGTTGAGGCTGCCCTCATCCTCTTCAGGAGGTCACTTGAGCGGCACAACCTGCGCTACACCATGGTGCTTTGCGACTGCCACAGTTACCTTGCGCTACAAGAAGATAAGGTTTATAGGTATATCCCAGTGGAAAAAGAGGACTGCAGTAATCATGTCCAAAAGCGTATGGGCACTGCTTTGCGCAACTTGATTGCAAAACACAAAGGCCCTGGCCTTGACATTCTTGGGGGAAAGAGCCGCTTAACAAGAGACCTGATCTCCAAGCTCACCAATTATTATGGGTGGGCTCTGAAGACACACAGTGGTGATTTTGATGCTATGCACACAGCAGCGATGGCCACTTATCATCACATCACGTCCAATGATGATGTGGCAAACCACACTCTGTGCCCACCTAGTCCAAATTCCTTGTGCAAATGAAATGCGGCAAAGGCCATGGGGGAGCTCATTCCCAAACATCGTCAAAAGCTGCCTTCACATGTCTGCCAAGCCTTACATCCCATTTATTAGCGCTTGTCAGACAGAAAGCTGTTGCAATGATGCAAGCGAGAGAAAACCCAAAATAACAACGAATGCCTGCATTCAATGATCTGGGCGCTGGCACCAAAGGAGCGACATGCTTCGCTATTCACAGTGGAGGCAGCTGTGGGAGAAGCAGTGCTAAAGTTCAATGCAGGCAATAAAAAGGCATCAGAGGACATTATGAAAGAGCTGAGCCTAAGCCCCAGCTGACAAAGCCGCAGCCGCATGGCTGAGAAGGATCGACGGCGCACAGCAGCACCAGTCAAGAAGCGACAAGCAACGGAGAACAAGCACCAGTCCCTGAAAAAGTGCCACACAGGGACTCATAGTCAAAAGGACTACATGCCCAGTGCATACTGAGCATTTTCAAGCGCAGTTATGTAAATGAATGAGTTTTATTTCTTTTTCTCAGTTTTCTGAAAACATGGTTTTTGGTGACTTTACTAGTTTGTCGGGTTGATATTGAACTGACGCGCTCCGTCACGTCCTGGAATCGTACTTTGACGTATTCGACTTCTGTGACCGTCCGCCAGGTCAAACCAGCATTGTAAAGCACCGCATTCACACTGGCGATGCATCTCTGGTACATCGGCGGCCGTACCGCGTTTCTCCTGCGGAGCGTCAAATCATTCAAAAGGAAGTCGAGAAGATGCTCGCCAAAGACATAGTTGAGCCATCTTCCAGTCCATGGGCTTCCCCTGTTGTTTTTGTAAAGAAAAAGGACAACAGTTGGCGATTCTGCATCGACTACCAGCATCTGAACAGGATCACTAAGAAAGACGTCTACCCGCTACCGCGCATTGACGACGCCCTGGATTGCCTTCATGGCGCTAAGTATTTTTCCTCCATCGACCTTCGCTCAGGATACTGGCAAATTGCTGTCGACGACATGGACCTCGAGAAGACTGCTTTTGTGACCCCTGATGGTCTTTACCAGTTTAAGGTCATGCCGGTCGGATTATGTAATGCCCCAGCCACCTTCGATTGAATGATGGACACTCTCTTGCACGGGTTCAAGTGGTTAATTTGCTTATGTTACCTCGACGACGTCATTGTGTTTTCCCCGACATTTGAAACACACCTCGACCGCCTTTCCTCCATCCTTTCTGTTTTTCGTAACGCAGGACTGCAACTGAACTCATCGAAGTGCCACTTCGGTTGCCAACAAATAACCATGTTAGGCCATCTTGTGGACTCCTCTGGCGTACGCCCTGATCCTGATAAAGTTCAAGCTGTGCAAAACTTCCTTGTCCCGACCAGCACTAGGGAAGTCCGAAGCTTTTTAGGTCTAAGTTCTTACTTCCGACGTTTTGTAAACAATTTCGCGGACGTGGCCCGACCTCTTACGGACTTGCTGAAGAAGGATGTTTCATTCTCTTGGGGCGCTGCGCAAGCTTCGGCGTTCTCTAGTCTCATCGTGTTGTTCACAACACCACCTATTCTAGCCCATTTTGACATGTCTGCCCCAACAAAAGTCCGCACTGATGCCAGCGGCCATGGAATCGGTGCTGTTTTGGTCCAGCATCAAAGCGGCTGCGCCCGCGTTATCGCATATATCAGCCGTCTGCTCTCTGTGGCCGAGCAGAACTAGCCTATCACTGAACGGGAATGCCTTGCTCTAGTTTGGGCGGTTGGCAAATTTCGGCCTTACTTACATGGTCGTCGCCTCACTGTCACAACTGATCACCACGCCCTCTGCTGGCTCTCGTCGTTAAAGGATCCCACTGGGCGTCTTGGTCGCTGGGCACTACGGCTCCAAGAATATGACTACTCAGTGTCTTACAAATCTGGCCGTTTACACCATGATGCTGACTGCTTGTCCTGCCATCCAGTGGACCCCCCCTTAAACTTTAGATGAAGCGCCAACATGTGTGCTCTCTCTGCTTTGAGCAACATCCGTGATAAACAGCTCAGAGATCCAGTCTTGCATGGCATTATTGAGAAGCTAGACTCCCTAACACCCCATCCATCTACTCGAGTGTTTGTGCTTACGGAAGGTACCTTGTACCACTGCAATGTTAACACAAATGGGCGCGAACTGCTCTTTGTGGTGCCTTCCCAGCTACGTTCGAGTGTTATCGCCCAGCTCCATGACGCCCCCACCACCAGTCACCTTGGTCTCTCTCGGACTTACGACCGCGTGCAGCGTCGATTTTACTGGCCCAGGCTTTATCGCTCCGTGCACTGCTACGACGTTGCATGCGACCAGTGCCAACGTCGAAAAAAAACCCCTATGAGTCCTGCCGGATTCCTCCAGCCACTTGATATTCCTATTGACCCCTTCTTTCGAGTTGGCCTTCATCTTTTAGACCCGTTCCACCAGTCTACCTCCAGAAACAAATGGATAGCTGTCGCTACGGATCATACAACCCAGTACACCATCACGCAGGCTTTGCCAACCAGCTGTACCACAGATGTTGCCGATTTTCTTCTGTACGATGTCATCCTTCATCATGGTGCTCCATGCCAACTCCTCACAGATCGTGGGCGCTATTTCCTCTCCTGAGTTATTGACGACCTGCTTCGCTCTTGCAAAACCAAACATAAATTTACGACGGCCTACCATCCACAAACTAATGGGCTTACCGAACGATTCAACCGGACTTTAACTGACATGCTCTCCATGTACGTCTCCTCCGACCACCTAGACTGGAACGTTGCATTGCCATTTGTCACATTTGCATACAATTCCTCACGGCACGATACCGCTGGGTTTTTACCATTCTACCTCTTATTTGGCCACCACTCAACTCTACCTTTTGACACCATCTTTCCGACAGCTGTCGATTTACCGGTTAAATACGCCCGTGACACCATCACCAGAGCTCACAAAGCACGAGAAGTCGCTCGGAAGCGCCTCTTAGCATCGCAAGAGCAACAGAAGCAACGTTACGACACACATCATCGTGACATCTCCTTTGCCCCGGGTTCCCTTGTGTTGTTGTGGACACCGACTCGACATGTTGGTCTCTCTGAGAAGCTGCTTTCCCGGTACTCAGTACCCTACCGCGTCTTGCGCCAGGTGACCGACGTTACCTACGAGATAGCCCAGCTGAAGTCATCTCCAATGTCTACAGACATTGTTCATGTCTCCCGACTTAAGCTCTACCACTCCACAACATCATAGAAAGCACCGAGACAGTGCTTCTGCACCCGGGGGTCATGTTACGAGACTACATCGCGCTGAAAAATCAAGACAGACAGCGAGAAAGACGACGTGATTCTGGGATGTGGGGCACGCTCTGGCTTGCCATCTCAGCTTAGGCTTGGCGAAATATATCTTAGCTGTAACCTCGTTTCTCTGTGTACCCTCCCCTAACAATATTTTGCAATCTAGAACAGGTAGAGCAATAATTTTTTCATTAATGTAAAGCCCAATCTGTGTATTACAAAGTGCTGATAGCAGAATTTCCATTTGCTGCCCATATAAATTTAGAAGGTATTAAATTTCTTTGTGTGCGATAGCCATGGTATGACTTCTCAACTTTCATCATCTGTAGAATCGCAAGTTTTTATTTAATATGAAATCTGCTTACGGCATTGCACTTATTGCTAATTGCACTGTCTAGCTATGCAATAATATTTACTTTTTGATAAGCAGTTTCCTTTCTATTGTCTTCGAAAGCAATAGAGTGGCAGCATTGTGTAGCTTCTAAATTGATTAACCTACAATGAAAATTTTTACATATTTGAAATCAGCAGGAGAAACTACATAAGCTTGTATATTTTCATCATGTTTGGTCCACAAATACAGAAAATATCTCCACACACCATGTCCCCCCTTAAAAGTAGTTAATGTCACTTGTTCATGTAAAATAAAACAACAATTATGTTACCCAAAACATAATAATGGCCGTACTGAGCTGGTGCTTTCCACACATTCATTCCAGGTATCTCCTTTCAGTACATGTTGGACATCACACTGCCACAACATTCTCTGACACAAGAGCTTTTTAAGACTTGCACACACCTAATCTTGGGACAATGAAGCAAAACCGAGTCTGCTGCTGTCTGAAGTTATGTGGCTGTGCACTTCAAACTTGATGTCACAATCCCATAAGTCTGCTGTTATCACACTTTAATTACTTTGGTCTTCGAGGAGAAGTGCAAAATCGTTACTACCTTCACAAATAAGCATTACAATAACGTCATTTCAATTCACCCAGAAATAATTCTGTGGAAACATAATTTCAGGCCTGCTTGGAACAAAGCTGCAGACAGTGTTGCCTACATTTCAGTCAGGTATTGTAATATTCTTGCCATCGGAGAAAATTCAGTTTCATTTTGAATGAGTACACTTCACAAGTAATGTCATTAGTAAGCTGTCACGTGGGGGTAGAAATGCTCAGTGACTGTCACAGCATAATAAAATCTCAAGTGAGCGTGTTGTTCAGTGACCTCATGTCACTGAGTCTAAATTTGCAGCCTCAGTAACAGAAGCTCGAAAATAAATAAACAGCCACAAGGCCAGTATTTATATGCAATACTTTTTGTTGCCGAGAATGTTCTTGGTATCCAACAAAACGTGCTCAACTACAAAATAATTTAGTGTAATCACTCTCCTTCTGTTCACAGCTACAGTTGCCAGGGCCATGTCATGTAATGGCCACATTGCTTACGCCTGAGCAGCTAAAGTTACAATACTCGTTTACTTCATTTAAACTTAAGCTTATTCTATACTCGCTAGAAATAAAACAATATTTGCCAAACATTGCGTCAAATAACGAACGTGTATATCTTACGTACCGATTCATCCATAGCTGTTATCAGAAATTCGAAAGGTCGTTTTTTTTTTTTTGTTGTGTAGTGCCGCGCTGCCAAAGAGTCATTAAATCTGCCGACAACAAGGTGCTCAGCTGAATGTGGAAGCACAAGACAATAAGGAAAAAAAATCCGAAGCCAAGCACATCAATTTCTATAGCCTGGTTTAATCTGAGCTTCTTAATGTAATTATGTTTCAAGGCACCACCGTTTCTTGTCCAAATGAAGTTTTGATGCAAATATTTAAAATGAAAATTCTTCTGTTAGAGCTAAATGCCTGTAATTAGTAGTAAGCCTACACAAAGTACATTTCTTTACCTAGGTCAAATAAATGAGCGAAGAGGTCATTGCTCTACTACAGCATAATATGTATTAACTCACTCAGATTTATTATAACAAGCATAGAATGAACTTGGAGTTTACAACTTTATGATTGAGGACAAGAGAAAAGGATGAGCAAGACTTGTTGCTGGAAAGTACACAATAGCACAAACTTAGAAAAGACTGATCAGACAAAAGAAGGAAATAGATGGGGGCAGAAAGATTGGGCATTGAACTTCAACTGTTTCTTCAAACAAACAAACTACCAGATTACAACTCTCTGCACATGAGCACATCAAGATCAGTAAACCCTGGTCACACTCGCATGTCAAGAAGCTGCAGCTCATTTGGGTAAAGTGAAACTGACATAACAAAGGTTGCATTAGTGATACGTCTGTTTTACTTTACCAAAATGAGCTAGAGCTTCTTGACATGCGAGTGTGACCAGGGTTTACTGGTTTTGATGCGCTCATGCACAGAGAATTGTAATCTGGTGACTTGTTCGTTCGAAAAAACAGTTGAAGTTTTGCACCCGACCTTTCTGATCAGTCTTTTCCAAGTTTGCCCTACTATGTACCCTCTAAAAATGCAGGAGCCAGCCATAACCACTGCATGACAGCATCTACCAGGAACCTTTTCTCATTGCATGGTGCATATTTCATCATTGCAACTGCATCAATTCAATAACTAAGACACTTCTCCCAAGTCCTCCTGCTCATCGTCGTCTCCCAAGTCCTCCAGCTCATCGTCGTCACTGTTGTGTGAGAAAGATGAAGAACCGGGTCCCTGATCCAATGGTTTAGCACCTTTCCGTTGAGGGATGGCTGCCAACAAGGCATCTGTCCAAGTCATCCCCTGGGTCTTGTTAAGCAGGATAGTGAACACTACGAAGACAACAAAGAAAAAACATCAGCTTTTGCACACTAGAAAATGCATGTGCAATAAAATGATAGCTCCAACATTTGTTGCACAACATGCTTGAAAAAATAGCGAGCCCCACCCTAATGCAGCGACAAGAAATATGCTTCCACTGCAAAATCCTGGTGTACCTAGCTTGTGTTACAACACCAGCATCTGCTCTACTATAACTTTAATATAATGCGAAATTTCTTTCACTTTAAGAGCTACTAAAATACTGCCTGAGCAACATGTTTGAGTAACAAAACAATATTCAGAAACAGGTATTCGTAAAGAGAGAATCAGTTCATGCAAACTGGAAAAGCTCGTCTTTATTCATGCCCCAAATATACATAGGAAAGCCAGGGCGGTGAGTTAACATGCACTCCAGGGAGCATCAAAATGCCCTAAAAAAATAAATGCTCTTTTTCAAACTTTAAAACACAAATTCGAGAATGAGAATGTACTGCTGCATTTGCACAGACAAGGATTACTTTCCGCTACCCAGGTAAATTGACTAGCGAGACTATTAAGGCCTACAAAATACAGAAAACAGGTCATACCTGTGCAAGTAAGCATTCAATTGGCCTGCAGAGTAAAGACACTTCTCATTTAGACTACGCAAATTGTTGATCGCCAATAAGTGTTATTGACCTGTAAACAGGCGCCAACTTTTTTTCATACCTCCCAAACATGCTGACCTATGATGCACAAAATCGCAGCATTGCATTCTGTGAATGTCACAGCTCTGCACGGATGCTTCATTTAAAAAAACAATTGCCACGCCCCTCTCCTGTGCATGATCATTTCTCTTCACTTGCAAAGTGCCATAACGCCTTTGTTCAGCACTGAACTCATCGAGTGGTCCTTCGACCTAAAAAACGGTGCCTTAGTCCTGCGGTGATAGTTTTGGCCATGTAGCTATCGTGCGAGTAAAAGGTTCGTACAGGTTTTCAAAGCGAAAATTCAAGGATATTCAAGAACTTTTCAGAACTTGTTGCAAGTTTTTCAAGGACTCATAGTTACATGCGAAATTGAAATTTTTCACTCTAAAATTTTGAAAAATGACCAATTTTATTGTACTTGCAATATATAGATATCATATTTATTGAAAAAAGAGTGTAGTCTTTACAACTTTTCACACCCTCTCCATAGAGAGCAGGCACGATGTCATGTCGGAAAGTTACGTGCTAATGGGCTTCAACGCACATGTGTGGTCAGGCCTTAAAGGGGTCGTGCCGCAATATTTGTGGCTTGCGTGCTCTTTGCTGGAAGCTTTAATTATAGCTCCAAGAAGCATGATACACCCGCCTAGATTAATTTATTCTCGCTATTTAATTTGTCACCCTTTTAATATGGACAATTTTCAGTTCATGTTTGTGGGGACCGAGTTGTGCAGGTACATAGTAGTGTAGCTGACTTAGTCTCGTGATCACAAAGCTTTGCACACGTCATACAGAGTATTTCAGCTCTTGCACACATGTGCCGCACAAGCACCTGTAAACCAAACTCTCCGCTACTAGCAGCAGCCGTGATGCTTTGCCGGTATGTACGGGGCGGAAGTCCGGAGATCACTCAGCTGACTACAGATCTGGTGTGACATCACTAGAACTTTTTTTGCCCTTCCTGTAGAACTAGGTCAGTGTTGGACGCACTCGCGATAGGTCTCAATTAGGAGAATGAGCATTTAGGTACACTTGGAAAGTGACTTAAAATATATTTTTAAACACACACAATGCTTGCTGTAGCCTTGAATTTTGATGGCACCATTCCATCAAGAGTGTCAGCTTGTGCACAGTTGACACTCGCAGCACATTGCTTTAATCACTGACATTTTACACTGCCAATATAAGCATAGCCACGACAACAGGCTACCCCTACCCTTTTGAATCGCAGAGAAAGTTGGTGAGGTTGAGAGTGAAACTGAATAGTTGTTTTATCACCTGTAACTTGATTATTACAGCAATTCATAAAAGTGTTGTGGGAGCATGTTTGCATTGCAGAAGTGGACAGCTATCCCTTCATAAAGCTCTTTTTGGTCTGCGCGGTTGTTTACTGGCTCTTCAAGGTCAATTTGTCTATTATTACTTTTTATCTAATTGCAAGTGCTCATCATGAGGTGCTTACTATCTTATAGGGGATGCGCAGCTACAATCAAACTTTTGAGGCGACAGAAAATCTTGCTGTAGCTTCCTATATATGCAAAAATAATCCACAAGAGGTGTTGGACACAGCAAGTGCTTAGAATATATTTCAATTTGCTTCCAAAATGAAACTAAATGCTCATTCTCACAACTGAGACTCATTGTAAGCATGACATATACCAACATCACCGTGTAGGGAAGTGTAATGAATGTTTTAGTGACGTCACATCACTTTAGAGGGTGTGCAATGATTGGTGCACCGAGAAGCCTTTTAGAAAGCACTAGCTACAAGCCCACATTCACTCACTTTTCTCAGCATGTTACCAAAGTAAGCAAGCTTTCTGACATTTTACAAAGTGCTTAACCGTGTCATGCAAACTTGGAAAGACAATGTTACAGGTTGTTAGATGTTCACAAACTTCTGTGTGTTTGTTAGCATATTGGGTTACCATAGCTGTAAACATGAGGGGGCCAGCTAAATGAGACTACCTGGTGAGGCTCAGATGAACTAAGCAAGCACAGAATGGTTGATTGATTGATATGTGAGGTTTAACGTCCCAAAACCACCATATGATTATGAGACACGCCGTAGTGGAGGGCTCCGAATATTTCGACCACCTGGGGTTCTTTAACGTGCACCCAAATCTGAGCACACGAGCCTACAACATTTCTGTCTCCATCAGAAATGCAGCCGCCGCAGCCGGGATTCAATCCCGCGACCTGCGGGTCAGCAGCCGAGTACCTTAGCCACTAGACCACCGCGGCGGGGCAGCACAGAATGGTTATTAAAACCTAGTGTATTATACTTCTCACTGAGTGTAAACCATCAGCAACGGAATAATTTCAGTGTGTTGCCTTTCCAAACAGAATATGGTCAAGGACACTCATCCAAGATAAACATGTCTGCAATTGTGGTTGTCCAAAACCTTACAAGGTGTCAGTGCCATCGTCTGGCAAATCGATATTCTGCAAATACCTCCATGCATACACTCAGAAAGCATTGAAAGCATCAGGACGGTTGCATCATGCAACACACGGCAAAAGCAGCCGGAAAACACATGCAAGAAGAACAAAAATCTAACAAATGATAAACAACTATCAGCTAAAATATAAAAACAGTAAAATAAAAACAACACTAGTACTTGTTTTGTCTAGTTATGTGTATCTTGTGTGTTTGCACTTCAAAGTACCATCATGAATTCTAAGCATTTACCATAAGAAGTGTTTGAAACAAAGAACGCTGAAGCCACAAATCTGATGACTCAAACCTTTAATGTGCACTTCAACTAATTTTGTCAATAACAAACTTTTTTAATTTGAAAGTGTCAGCGCGCTTGTGTCGTATGCAAGCATTCCTTTGTCCTTGTTTTAATTTCACTCTTTCCTTATATTCCCTAAAGACTAAATAATTACTTTATGTAGTGACAACTGCTTCGTTTTAGTCATTACAGGCAGGAAGAATGTGTGCGAAATTTAGAAATCTGCCAAATGACCTCTTTAACTATTACCCTCAAACATGCTACAAACAGCTTGTGCCGACTGATGGCATGAATTGGTCACAAGCGAAAGTAATGAGCGATGCCCTTGCCTGCCATCTCCGATGCATTGCCACCCACAACCAAAACCTGATAAGCCTCTGAAATGTCAATCAGACAAAAAAAATGCTGACCGAGTTACAACAACTATCATGCATTATTTATAGCACATTTTACACCTCGGTTTGCTTCATACATATTCCTGAAAATGTAGAAATGAAGGCCACTTAATTTGATCCCTCCACTCAATTGCTGAAGGCATCTTCACACATAGTGCACATCGTCACTCGCTCACTCGTACCATATTTGAGGGCACGAACATCCACAGGTGTGCACAGAGTTCTGCTGTAGAAGGGGGGGGGGGGGGCAAAGGCTCACGGCAGCCCTTCCTTTCCCCTTCAATGTCATTGTACTATTCATGTGACTGTGCCCCCCCCCCCTCGTTAGGTGACCAAAGGGAGTGACCACACCACCACGTGCACACGCCTATGTTAACATCACTGCATGTGAGTGACTAGTCTTTTAGTATATTCAAAAATCTCCGACACTTTCTTTGTAGCCTGGAAAAACTAAAACCACAGCCTCTATTCGCCCCGAGATCGAGCAGAGTCACCGCCTGGCGTGCGTTGCCTAGTGTGCATTGCTCCTTGCGTCGTCTGCTAGGCACATAGGCTAGGATGTGTGCGTACGTTATGCTTGTCCTCAAAGGACGGCTTGTCCCGCTCTGTTAGCGCAAAAGTAACTGCTTGTACGTTTGCTAGCACTGTCTACAGAAGCATTTGGCCTTGCTCGGCCGTATATGTACTGCAATAAGATAAGGTCGGGCATTCGGCGAGAGTGCTCTGCATCGTCGTCGTAGCTTCAGTTCTCCAGGATCATGTCCGTGTAGGTGCTGCTTTTTAGCTGAAGCACATCGCAAAGTGCATTGAAGTCGTCCCAAAAGATGACGAATACTAAATATTGTGCGAATGCAACATTTTAGCACCTTAGAGATAAATGAAGTTTTGCATGGTTGTTAGGTGTCTAATTGTGGTGCTGTTGCTATGGTGGTTATGCAATAAGATCTGATTGTGCTTGAAGTAAGTTTATTGTAGGGTTCTAGTACCACAACTTTGCTGTCTAGTAAGTTCTACCACTTCGTTACTTAAATTGCCCCTTAGAAAAAACAGAAAAATGGAATGACACGAAGGTGATTGAACTTGAGCTGCCTTGTGCAATTTAAACATAATGCGAAATCTATACAGACACAACCGTGTTCTTAGATTTGGGTTAGCTTAGATGACCCAGATTGCCACAATTTATACAGCA